CCCTCTCCCCCCTCCCAGCCAAGTAACTATCCCCGCCACTCACCTCCAGTATAATAAAGAAGTCCTCCCCGGGCTCTCCCTGCCTCACGATCTCCTCCTTGTCCTCAAACTGCACGGGCTCCAGAGCATCAGCCACGGTGAGCCGCTCCCACTTGTCCAGGTTCTCTGCACACACGAACACAAACATTTCCTTTATAGTGTTTGGAAGAATTTTTGTTTAAGTTTCAGTAGAGGTTTTACGGCGCTCGCAACTGCATAAGGCCATATGAGCACCAGAAGATTAGAGGTGTTATAATGAGTGTAACAAACATTAAAAAGAAGAAGGGGAGATGAGGACGATAGATGTTTGGTAGGAAAGAAGATGCAAACCACACCAGAGCACCCGCCAACCACCCACTTGAAAGAATTTTACGGCACTTGCAACACAGTTAGGTCATATAAGTGTCGGAGATTAGAGGTGTTACTAGAGAGTCACATAGATATTATAATTATAAAAGAAGGAGAAGTGATAAGGATATTAGATGACTTGTGACAAGATCTTAAGAAAGAAGAAATAATACCACTCCCAAGCACCCACCAACCAACCACGCACACAAAAAACTCTAAATCAGTTCAGTTTTAGTAAAGACAAGCAGCAGCAAGACAGCTGTGATTTTGTGCTTGCAAAATCATTAGTTTAAGTAAAGAGAAGAAAATCGACAGAATAACGGTTATGTAGTGCAAAGAAAAATCAAGGCGGACAGAAAAAACAGAGACACAAGAAAGAAGAAGAATCTACCAGTGGCGCCTTCCAACTATCCGCTACTCCAAGTCAGTTCAGATCAAGTAAAGGTAATCTAATCGGCCAAAAAGTGGTCATTTTGTAAACATTTTTGTGTGTGAGTGTTTTCCAGCCACATTAAAAAAGTGGGCAAGCAAATTTATAATTTAAGTAAGAGAGAAGGAAATCGACAGAGTAACGACCATAATTTAGTGCAGAGAAAAAGTAAGAAAGACGGAAATAACAGAAGGAAAGAAAAGAAAAAGGGTCCACTACTGGCGCCTAGTAACCCCTCGCGTACTTTAATGGTAGACTGACTGATTGAGGACCATTTTTGCGGCACTGTTAACACAGGCTTACTTTAATTGTGGAAAAGCAAATCGGCTTGACAATGGGCATTTGGAGCAGGATAAAATGTGAAATACAAAGAGCATTATAGCAGCTTTTGTTTATCCTCTTATCTGATTGACCGTCAGTGCCCGCATGTAAGTTTTTTCCAATATTTCATGTCTGCGTCTGTTCGTCTAGCTATATTATGTTTCTTTGTCTGTCTCACAGCTTGCATGTGCAATTTCTACGCAATCTCCGGGAAGTGCATTTAGCCCACTGCCCAAATTTCCACTTGGGATCTAAAACATAGTACACGCACGCACGCACGCACGCACGCACGCACGCATGCACACACACACTCAAATACACATATTCGACAGAAACAACAAACACACATAAACGCCGACGAGAGAGAGAGAGAGAGAGAGAGAGAGAGAGAGAGAGAGAGAGAGAGAGAGAGAGAAAGTTGATGAACTCCTTCATAAACGATGAGTGCCTTATGGATTGCTGCAAGACACATGTGGAGTTTCCTCAGTTGCAACATCTGCCTGAACAAAATCGTAACTGTTGTAACGGAAAGTGTTTTACGCCTTCATCAACACAATTTAAACCATTTAAGAGGCTAGTTGATTTGACCCTTCCTGTCAGTGTCAACCACGATTGAGTGGGATACAGGATCTCAGCAGACAGACAGAGGCGCTTAGTAAAGAAAAATTCCCCAATACGGAATCGAACTCAGATCTTCTGAGGGCGACGACAAAGAGTCTGTCAGCTTCAGCACAGACAGGGGTGAAGAGAATTGTCTTAAAATTAGCAACAGAAAACACTTTGGAAACATTGGACCCTTTGGCATCAACGTTTTTTCGAGACGACAAAGTCATTTTAGATTAAGCACGCTGTCGTTAAACCAGATTCAGAGTCATTCAGGCAGTGAATACCATTGGCTCTTTTTTTAACTTTGATTAGAGAGTAGCACTTTGGAAGGAAAAACGATCATAATAAATAGTTTAGGGAAAGAACGACATAGCCACACATAACGACAAGGGGGATAGCGAAGAAGTACTAGTAGGACCTTCTAGCGGCAGCCCCACCCCATCCCCCTCCCC